ATACAAATGGCATCGTTCTAAGACTAGGACAATTTTTTTTATCTTTCTTTCTTTGTTCCAACACATGTTATCTAACTTCTCCTTCTGTGGACTCAATTTTCTTTTATTTAAATAATATGTTTTTGTTTAATTTTTTTAAAAATTTATTTTTGAGAGAGAGATAGAGACAGCATGAGCAGGGGAGGGTCAGAGAGAGAGGGAGACACAGAATCTGAAGATAGGATCCAGGCTCTGAGCTAGCTATCAGCACAGAGCCCGATGCGGGGCTCGAACCCACGAACCGCGAGATCATGACCTGAGACAAAGTCGGACGCTTAACTGACTGGGCCACCCAGGCGTCCCTTAAATAATGTATTTTATTTTATTTTATTTCATTTCATTTTATAAAATATATAAAGAGAGAGAGAGAAAGAGAGAGAGAGAAGGAGAGGGAGAGAAAAATTTAAGCAGGCTCCATGCCCAGTGCAGAGCCCAACACAGGTCTGAGCCAAAATCAATAGTCAGATGCTTAACCAACTGAGCCACCCACGCGCCCCTCAATTATTCTTGATCAATGCTATCCACTATATTGTTTCTACCTTCAGTTATTCCCATCCACTTCCCCTCTCCACTCATTCATGTTTTCTTGAAGGAGTTTAGGAATTTGCTCTTTGGTGCTAAAGTGAATAAATCTTAATCTGGCATGTAAATGGATATCTGATCACTTCCTGTGACTTCATTTGAGAGCTCTCAACAACTATTTCTGCTTCACTGATGCAAAGAAATTTTATTACTTTGAAGCATTCTAATGTGGTTTTTATAAAATACAAAAAAAAGTAGCCATAAAATTATATGCCTCTCTGGAGATAAGAATAAGAGATCAAAATTTCTGTTAAAAAAATGATTTAAGCACCAAACTCTCTTGCCTGTTCAAAAAGGAAATCCACAGAATAGGCATTTATCACCAGAAGAAAAGATTATTCCAATTTATTTTGGTGGTGAAACTCTGACCCTAAAGCCATCCAATGACAAATAGACAGCCTAGTTCTGTCCCTTTTATCAACAGATTTCAAAGTACAAGTGAGAGGAAGGTGATATTTTGGGTCATTTCTAAGTTATGATGGAGGGAGAAGAGAAGCCGGAAGATTCGAGTAGATTGTTCATTGTTAAGCATAATGGTGGAGATAAAAGAGCACTTGATCTGACTCATTCTGGGCTTTTCTTATAAAATAGCCAAATCAGCCCCTGGGATGGATGGGATTCACCTAGGCTTCAGTGAGGGTGCACATGACTTCCGTGGTTTCATGGATCGGTTCTAAGGCCAGGAATTAGCTCCAAGTAACTTGAACCAAATATTTTAATGAGTAGGAAGTGCAACTTCCTCAGAAGAATTACCAATTCAGCTTTTTACTTCAATGTTCTATTACCTGCTTACGTTTTTGGGACAACACGGATTTCTGCATAAAGATGATGGTGCATGTCATCAAACTGTCACTGGGGACACTGGATATGCTTTCCTCAAAGAACTTGGATACTTAATGCTATGGAAATTGGCTGTTTCTTGTCAAGGGCAATAATGTAAGGAAAGTCACGCAGAGAAGATTCCTCTGTGTATAAAAGGCTTGGGAAATGTTTTTCACCATTGCCAAAGCCAATGTGTAAGCATAATAAGTACAACAGGCAATATCCAGAGTTCTGACACCTTCCCAGAGATGCATGCAGCATTTGTAAAATTCTCTGTGGCTCCAAGGAAACTTTCAGCAGCTCTAATGGCTTCATCACAGCCAGTGCACAATACTGACAGTTTTGTATGAAAATGGGGGACTTTCCCTGGAAAATATTTTACCCTGCAGAGGCCAGCGGTCCCATCTCAGTGGAGAATAGTAGATGGTTGGTCAAATAGCTGCTGAAACCCTTGGAAAATGATGGCTTAATGTCAATAATGGAATGCATAGATGCAGGCACCTGGGGAGAAAAGACAAAGATGGTCGTCTTTTAAACAAAGACCAGCTTGCTGGCACTGATTTTGGATGACCCTGCGCCAAGTCTGCAAAATGCACCAAAACCCAGGTTGTTTTTGAGAGGCAGGCACTTGTTCTTGGAAATATTGAGGTCTTCTTCATAATCAGAACTTTCATTTTAATCTAAATGAGCTTAGTCCTAGCTGAAAAAGGGCAGGGACACTACCGTATCTATTTTAGAGAAAAGAAGTAAAGTCAGAGTAAGGTCTATGTAAGATATGGCAACCCAAGAAAAGGTAGAGCAGGCATGATTCTGCAGGTGTTAGGGTGACACAGCTACTTTGGCAAGAGGACCCCCTTATTTAAGTAGGATACCCCACAAATGGTTGATAACAATATTACGGGCTTCCATAATGTTTATTTAAGGATCTCTTCCAGAAAAATGACATTTTAACCTCTTGTTTAAAATTCCTGCCCTTGGGGTGCCTGGGTAGCTCAGTTGGTTAAGTGTCTGACTCCTGGTTTCAGGTCAGGTCATGATCTCGTGGTTTGTGAGATCAAGCCTGCGTCCAGCTCTGCACTGATGGTGTAGAGCCTGTCTGGGATTGTCTATCTTTCTCTGCTCCTCCCCTGCTAGTGTGCTCTTCCTCCCACCTCAAAATAAATAAACATTAAAAAAATAAAAATAATAAAATAAATAAAATTTTTGCACTTTATCCCCTCAGAAATTGTTCTCTCATCTCCAGATTAGACAAGTTTACTGCACATGCAATTCTTTGTCACCCAGAATCACAGATTCCTGAGGATTTATAACACAGGATGCTTAGAAGTAAAAGTCCTGATTACCAAATGGAGTTGAGCTGAAAGTACATTACTGTGTCCAGAATTTCTCCTTCTTTTCACTTAGAAAGAATACCACGATGTTACTAGCAGAGAAGCAATATAGTCTGGAAGGTGAGAGGTCCTTCAGTAGACAAAGATCTGCATTCCAGCTCTGCCCACCTTGGGCAAGTTCAATAACTTCTTACAGCCCAGGTGTTATTTTTGTAAAATAGGGACAATGGCATCAGCTACCTAGGGAGCTGATGGCAAACAATAATATTTGTACATTATTTATTGCCAACATATAATGCACAATGCTTTCTACGTTTTGTAAACAATTATCTCATTTAATGCTCACAATATCTCATTGAGTTGGGTGCTATTATCTTCATTTCATACAGATGAGGGAAGAGAGGCTTTGAGGCATCACCCTCATGCTTAAGCCAGAATTCAAACGCAGGCCCCGTGACTTCAGGGGGAGCTATGAACCACTACATAAACTATGAATTCACTGACAAAAAAAAAAAAAAAAAAATAGAACATGTTTAGCATAGTGACTGGCATATAATAGATGTTCAGTAGAAGTTTTGATACACTTCATGTTAATTAATGCTTATCGGCAGTTAAACTCTTTGAGGGCAAAAACTGAAATTCACTTATTTTTAATAGCCTCAGATTCTAGTCTGCAAACGTGTTCTGTGAATACCTGTTAAGTGAGGAATGAATAGATCCAACTTGGAATCCTCACGACTACAGAGAAAAGCTGACTGAAGTCAGTTTCAGCTGCTCTAAGCAAAAACCTATTTAGACCAGATACCGACGTCCCCTTTGCCCTTCATATTCCCTATTATTGGGAAGGCTTTATAACCCTGCTACCTTAGAGCAATGTAGAAGACAAAGAATTTGTTGTATTTTTGTCCTTAATGAACAGTATTTATCAAGGAATAATTCCCTTCCAAACTGTACTAAAGACACATAAAGAAAATTAAGGACTGCCCTCTCTCCTTGACCAAGTCAAAATAAGAACCTGCAAAGACTTTGAAAAACTTTCAGGTACTTGGTTTGGGGGTAATCACACGTTACAAAATTAATTTCTAATTGTATGTATTTTTACATTTTCTAACTGAATGTCAATTAATGAAATTAAATTTTATTGATATTTAAATTATTTTAAAAATAAAATGTGAAGTTAATTAAAATTTCTAATTCAATATCAATAAATAAAATAATGATTTACCTATAATATTTTGGCTTAGAATACTTTTTACAAAAATTGATTCTTATATAACATTCATGATACTATTTAATTTAGGGAAGTTTATTAAAATCCCTATTTTAAAAATGAGACGGGGTGCTTGGGTGGCTCAGTCAGATGAGTGTGGGACTCTAGATTTCGGCTCAGGTTGTGATCTCAAGGCCCTGCATGTAGCTTCATGTTTAGCATGGAGCCTGCTTGGGATGCTCTCTCCTTCTCTGCCCCCTCTCCCTCCCCCCCCCCCCCCCCCCCCCGCTTCTCTCTCTAGAAAACAAATAAAGAAATAAAAATAGAGAGGCTGGGTTCAAAAAAGCTTCATATTTTGCTCAATGTTACACAATGGATGAATGGCAGAACCATTTAGGGACATTTCCAGGCATCTGAAAAGAAATGTGGCCTTGAAACATTGACATCTGAATAAGAGAAAAGAACAAAAAAGCTTCCACACAATTCAAACATTCAGAGATACGTGGCATTATGTAATCACACATGGCTGAATATCGTTTATAATTTTAACCACTTTTTTCTCAAGGACAGATTTTCTTGAGATTGTTCCTATTTTGAAATTAAAAGACACAAAGAGAAAGAAGGAAAGTTAGAAGTTAATTACAATTATGCTACTTAACATAGTTAATAATTGTATGCAAATCAAGTATTTCTAGAAAATTACTACAATTACATTTAATGAAACATAGATATTGTGATAAGTGATTGCTGCTAAAATCCTGAATGTACTGAAGTCAATACTTCCCTTTTAACCATCCAGCTTCCAACTGGAGGTACGCCATTGTAAAGTAGAGTGTACATGTGCGAACTTGATCTCCCCCAAACTTCTCTGCGGCTGTTGTTAAAGCTGAGGTAATAAACGCCTCCGCTCCACAAGGACCTAATTGTTACACGCGCAAAGGACCGTCCCTCTGGAACTATCCATGTTGGTGACAGAGGGCAGGTCTCATAAAGAGGAAATCACGAGCAATAATTACCTAGGCATGTAAAGGACTCTCTCCGCCACCACAAAACCCACCCTGAAGAAGAGATTGCTGGCTGGAATGAACGGGAAAACCAGGAACAACAAGCCCACTAAAACTTCCTTGTGCTCCAGCCTCTGAAACACACAATAGTGAAGGACAAATTAATTTTTTTTTAATTTTACTCCAGGCTCTTGTTGGCATTTAACCATCTCTTTCATTCTCAAGTTCTCACCTTAGACAATGTCAACCTTTTGATCAGTGTGCCGAATTCATCAGAGAAAGCCCTCAGGCTAAAGCCTCTGGCATCACACGTGTGCCACCCAGAAATGTCAGATAATTGCCCAACACAATCAGTGACCATCACTCCATGTTCTGAGCCCGCCCTACAGCAACCCTACTTCTTCGTTCTGGTCCCTTTCAGAATCTCTGTCCCCTCAGGCAACTGGTTTCCAGAGAGCAAAGCAGCTTGATAGAATCAAGCTCACTAAGGCATCATGGAGAATTTAATTACTGTCCTCTCTGAAATAGAATGCATTAAAAACAAAACAAAACACAAAAACCCCACAACAAACCTACACACAGAACTCACCAGAAGCTTAGCATAAAGGAAATTAAATGCAAATGGTAAAATTCAGGGAACCAATGAGAGAGATCATTAAAGCTGAGGAATTTTTAACTCAAATTAAGCCAGTATTTATTCCAGGAAATTTTTTGGCATCAAAAATCATTACAGTAATTCATTATATTGACAAAACACCTTTCTCTAAAATTATATATATTTATTGTACATATTAACTTGTAAAGACTTTCCTGTCACTTCTAATTAACAGAAAAAAATGATGTATTACTAATAATTTGTTGTAATGGACACTGTAAAAATTAGTGTGCATTTCTATCATTATTATGTATGGACACATTTGAAGAGAGGTCTACTTAAAACAAACCTTAATATATTTTCTTCTTTAATAAGCTTAAGAAAACCAAATTGAACTCTGCATATTACAGTTACAAACATTTCAAAGTCTTACTTTTAATAACTGCAAAAGACTAAATAAAAGAATTTAGAAAAATATAAATAAAATTCCCTAGCAGGAACTACTAATGTTTTAAGTGTACAAAGATTTTTAACATCTTGAGAGATCTGTCACCTGGATTTTATTAAGATCTTTGTTTTGCTGACTATAACATATAGAGTAATAAAATTTTGGAGAGCAATTCCATATGAATAAATGTGATCTGGACAATTTCCCTTAAGTAATTAACAGTTGTATAAGTTATTTTAACCTAATGGAACCATATTCTTTAGAATTAAAAGATGAAAGGAAAAAAAAGCTTTTGTAACAAGTTTTCAACTGAAATGGATGCAAACAGGATGTTATGTTTTTTCAGACTCACTAAAATTGAGGGAAAAAATAGGTGAGAAAAGTAGCAAGTTCATTATATTTAAGAGCTGCAACCTATTTTTTAGTTTAGATTACTCTTTCAGTTTACAAAGTATATTTCGTCTCAAGAACTTAAGGTTTACATAATTAAAAAAAAACAACAACATAAGAATCCTATGACATCAAGAGTACAATATTCTTGCTAAAATTGAAAATGAATCCCAGAGAATAGGTGTCTTGTCCAGTGTCCTTCATGAACTCTCAGCGTATTACTGAGTACAGAATTGGTGTTCTATTCTTATACATGCACTTTTATTTTTTAGCCATAGTTGAATACTTCTTTTAAACTTGTCAAAAGCTGAAATTATTTTTTAAAAAAGCATTCACATATTGTCCCATAGAAATTTCTAAAGACAATTTAATATGCTCTATTTATTAATCCTATAGAATTACGAAGAGTATGAACAGAACTCCAGGCCATCATCCATGTTCCTGGATAGCGTTACAGTCAATGAGCCACCTCCCGGGCCCTCTTCAAGGTTATCAGAAAACAGTCCTCCTGGGGATAACCTTGAGGGAGGCAATACTTTCACACCCCCAGTGTCACACCTTCTTGCCTGAGCAAAGGCTGCCCTCACTGTGGTGGGCACGCTGTGTCCCTTACTCGCAGAATCCCCTGTGCTTCGGGAGCCCCTAGGTTGGGAGGAGGCAGGTGTCCGGGGACTGCAGACACCCAACTTGGTGCCTGCTCCTCTCTTCTTCGTTCTCCCAGCCCTGCAGGGGGGCAGGACCCCCATGGAGCTCCCGGGCACAGGGAGAAAAGGGAGGAGAGTGGAGCAGCCCCTAGCCTCCTCTCAAAGACTGACTTGCACCCTGAAAACTCACAACCCCATGTGTTCATTGTTCCCCACCAGGTTCTTCTGGCCCCAAGTGCATCTTTACTTCCTTCATGGCCATCATCCCAGCTGTGATTACACACTGATCTCTGTATTTACTGTCTTCCCCAGCAGACTGTGAGCCACGAGGGCAGGGAGCTGGTCAGCTGTGTTCACTGCTGCATGACGCGTGCTCATCTCAGTGCCTGGCACTTAATGGGTGCTTAGAAATATTTGCTGAGTAAATTAGTGAATGAATAAATGTACCGGGCAAGAGAGAAAACTGGATGCGATAAGGGGAGAGGGTGGAGACAGCATCCTGTTAAGGTGATGACCTGATTTGAATGCATGCTTACAAATGTGGTGTGGCTGGGATGGGAGGGCAGGTCACAGCTGGGCACACTCCAGAGAGAAGACAGAGCAGGTACAAAGCAAGGAAAAGACTAGACGTGGTGGGTGATAAATCACGAGGGTCTGCCCTGTGTGGAGCAGACCTTCACCTAGAGGCAACAGGAGCTATTAAAGGGCCTCATGTGCACAGAAAGGCAAGCAAGTCCATGTCCAGGAGTTTATGTCTAGATTCAAGTTGTGGCCCTGCCACTAACACACCATTAGTCGCCTTGACCAGGTCCGTTAGCCCTTTCACCCCTAGACTGTAAAATGAGACACATGAGGCTCATGGCTCAGTGGGCTGGATCATCTGGAACATTCCTTAATGAACGGAACTCCACATCATTGGAGGTGTGGGTTGTGAGCTCAGAGGCTACAGCTCCATATTGCTGGCAGGGGTGCCGGTTCTACAGGGGGCTTTCCTGTTTTCAAAACATTCAGTTGAAGACCACGCCCAACCTCAATGAAGTTTTATCATTTTATTTTGTCTTGAGAAAACTAATAGTCATGAAAACTTCTTTATTCTCAAATTAAATTGACAATAAAACCCTTTGTCTTTAAGCCTCCTCTGCATTCAGTCAATAGAAAATATTCAGAAACTTATTTCTTTAAGCTGCAAGTCAATCAGCCAAGCAGAAAGTTGTAAAAGTTTGGGGGAAACGTCATGAACGTGGCTGAATTTCCTAGAACGAGAAAGACTGGGAGGGAATCCTGTTTTGTATCTTGTGGATCACAGATGTGACAAAATTGGCTAAATAATTTAAAGCTAATTTTAGCTTAATAGGTTCAGATGAAACTCAACCAAAATATGATTGAGGGAAAAGAGAAAATTTGTGGCACTTTCCAAAGTCCACAAAGTGCATTCCGTTTCTAGGAATAGAGGCAAATGGAAATTTACTTATTCAAATTACAGTCAGGCATGAAAAGACATGAGGATTAAAAGGCCTAATAATATGGCCATTAATAATATATATTTTTTGTCCAATTAACTATGCAACTTCAGAGAAATGTATTTCTTTGAGCTTTAATTTGATGATCAGTAAAACAACAGGAAGGGTATTGATACCCATTGCATCTGTAGGAACAATGTGTGACAGATTCAATATGACAGACGTTAGCTTCGATTCCTTTCCGCCTTGGGACGGTGTAGAAAAGCATGGCCCTGAGCTGCACAGAGATAAAGACCTCGCAACATCTCTCCAGGGTGCCCCGAGAAGTGTCTGACTGCCACCCGCACAGCCACGCATCTGAGCAAGCAGCTAAGGGAACAGCAGTAGCTTTTCTCAGGGCTGTAACTGACCTCAGAGATGTCATTCTAGAATCCAAGCCTAGGCTAGCCTGGCAGCTTCTGGCTGATTTCTTCCCCTTCTCACTCTCCGTTCAGTTTTCAAAGCATATGTCACAGATAAGGACACACACCCCTGTGCATCGTGGCCAGCAGGGTGTGAGTGAGCATTCAGGAGAAGAAGACCCCTTTGTGCCCCAGGTACTGCAGGCTGTCTCCTTCCAGGGAGGCAGAGAACGGGCCTCATTATAGTAACTTTTTAAAAAGATTTTTCAAGTTTTTTAATTTCAATTTTGTTAATGTTTATTTTGAGAGAGAGAGAGAGCACAAGCATGCACACGCACGTGAGCAGGGGAGGGGCAGAGAGAGAGGAAGAAGGAGAATCCCAAGCAGCTTCTGAGCTGTCAGCACAGAGCCCCATGTGGGTTTGGAACTCATGAGCTGTGATATCATGATCTGAGCCAAGATCAAGAATCAGATGCTTGTCTGACTGAGCCACCAGGTGCCCCAATTTTTAAAAAAAATTTAAGTAATCTCTACACCCAATGTGGGGCTCGAACTTACAACCCCAAAATCAAGAGCTGCATCCTCTACCAACTAAGGCAGCCAGGTGCCCCCTCATTATAGTAATTATTATCATCATCATCATTATATTTTCTCTCACTTCTACAGTTTTCAGAAAAATGCTACACTGCTTTTAGGGTGCAAGCATGTTCTCCTAGTTCTACATATAACACACTTATATTTCACTCCTAAAGATTTATTTGGCAGCTCTGGGCTCTAGCTGCCTGCATCTAATTTATCAATCTTCCGGGAAGCTGATGACAGTCAAGCTCCCCTCTTCAGCTCCAGGAGTAAAGGCACTTGCCAAGCTGACAACCAGCATGGCTGAATGCTATGAGGCCCTCTTTTTTCCTTCTCTTTATTGGTCTACTTCTTCCATTAGACTGTGAATTCACTATCGCATTTGAATCTGTTACCTAGATACCTGACACACACATAACTGGCATTTAACAAGTATATATCTCGATAGTAAAGATCAGAGATGAAAGCTGCATACATATCGCTGGGGCTCTCAAGCACACTCATAGCCATTTCAGGGACTGCCCCACTAAGGAAATCTTTTCCTTTTGACAACCCTCTGAAACACAGTATTTGCAACTTAATTTGGGGTGAAAAATCCTGAGTCTCTGAGCATCAAG